TCAGTTGGTATTTGTAAGTAGTGCTTGCTTGGAGTAAATGGTAATAGCACTGCTAACTCTATTTGAACACTTATTTTGAATGCTTTGCTTCCGAGGCTGTAGGGGGACATTCGGCCCGTTTTCCTTTATGTTGAGAAATGTGATAAGCATCATTTCACTCTTTAAATTCTCTGTAGCCACATTTTTAAGTGAGTACTTTTAATTAAAACTGTGGCCAAGGATGACACGTCATATCAGACTGCTAAGACAATTTTGCTGATACCAGCTTTCTAAGTCCCTGGAGTTTCTAGTTTTGCAGCAAGAGTTTAATGCTTATGGTGGTTTCATGCACGTAAAAGTTCCCTAGAAGGGAACCACTTGGAGAGCAAATGTGTGGTGTCACTGGTGATCGCATTCCTAGTTTGTTGACCCACAAAACTTTGGAAATGAAAAATGCCATTGCAATTTAGTCTATATTGTTTTTGTGATTCCTCAGCGTTAGATACCAGGTACTTCCAGGTGACAGTTGCTGGCTGAGAAGCCAAAGCTAAAGGTTTAGACGTATCAAACTCCACTGAGCATATAAATAGGTCATAGGGGGGTACTCTCTGCATTTTCTGCCAGAATTATTTAGCATAAAATTTTCGAGAGGCAAAGAGATGGGAATTTTCTAAAGGCAAGATGGGTTTCTTCCCTTCCTTTCCTTAGGTCTATGATTGGGACCAGAAATTTAAGTGATAAATTCTAGTTTTATTCTCAGTTTCAGAAGGGCCTCCCAAAGGTACTGCTAATTCAGTGGCCTAAAGATTAAAAGGTAGGAAGTAGGAATCAATGGAACAAATACCAAACCCCTCAAATACCTTACCATGCTTATGGAAAGCTGATTAGTTAGCCAATGTCTAGGGATTACCTGTTTTATTTTGTGAAATGGGATTCATTTAGTTTCGTATTTGGTATGTGTCCGTCAGTGCTGAGACCCAGATTAAATTTGCATAATTCAAAGAAAGACAATTTAAAAAAAGATCAAATTCAATCCCATAGCATTTTAAGAGTGTAAGATTGTAGATGACGTGCTGCCAACAGACTCCCTACCCTCAATCCTCCCGCTGATAATGCTCAGAGTAGAAGGCTTTCATCCCAGCAGACTCGACGGTTAGAGCTTTAAGTGTGACAATGAGGCAGAGGAACAAATTACCTAAATTATATAAAAACTATAATAAGGGGCTCAACCTGATCTAATAAACAGAGTGAATAGCAAGGGAAAACCTGAAGATAATTATGTGAATGACTTGAGAGGTTTAAATACAAGTCCTTAATTAGGTTATACTTACCTGGTCCACAAGTCAGCTCAGCATTAATTGGAAGAGACAATTAGTAGCAAATAAGATTCTGTATAATCAAGTCCAGCACTGTCCCTCTTCTAAAGAACTTACAGCTGTAGCCCCAGATAAAGAAGAGTCTTTGAGAGAGGGCCCAGGGTCTGCTGCGGGGCCATCTTGCGACTGCTCTCTAAGTCAGTTTTAAAAAGTTACCTAGAACTCACACTAATAAGACAATGTCTAACCCAGAGCTTTAGTATCTTACTATCTTCTTCCTTGGTCCTCATGTTCTAACTTTTATGAGGCACCTGAATGAACTGCCAGGTCCTCCAACAGCCCAGGAATGGCATTTGGGGCATGCCAATTTGGTAGGACGTGGCTTAGTGCTGAGGAGAGAAGGGAGTGAGGACCCTTCACTCACTGTCAGCTACCAGGGTGTCTCCTGCCCGGGTCATGATTTCTTTGCAAAGTGAGAGAGACGCTGGATCCATTGCTACCACACTTTCCCAGGCTTGTCGAGCCTGGGAATTGAGGACAGAACACCACAAAGTGCTGGGAAAAGCTCAGAAAATGGTTCCATTAACCTAGGATGTAATTTTACAAAGACCTCCTCCTGCTCGTAGCTTTTGAGTTTAATTAACCTCATCAAATAATACTAATTTTCTAATTCTACTGAAAAGTTTTCAAAACCCTTACAAGACAGCGAGAAACATAATAGTAATTAGCTTCCCTTCAAAACATCTCCTATAGTCTATACCAAGCATACACGACAGAGAAGAAACAGAACTGATGGCGAGTCCTGAGGAACTTGGGTTCAAGAATTTATCTTTGTCATTACATAACCAAGTAACTCTCAGAAAAGAATTGAAGTTCTCTGGGCTCCGGTCTCCTCGTCTATAAAACAGGTAGAGAGATTGAGATGATTTAGTCCTTTCTAAGCCTGGCTGAATAGAATAACCTGGCTCATTTTTAAAATACTTCAAATGCCCAGGTTCCATCTCAGACCAGCGAGGGAGACTCTCTGGCAATGATTCTTGGCCACGGGCATCCATAGAAGTGCACGGGTCATTGTGATCCTCCAAGCAGAGAACCACTGCATCGCTCCCTCCAGTGTCTTTGGTGCCCAAAGCTCTGTGGCGTCCCTAGGTGAAGACACACGGACATAACGTTTCTGAGCAGATAAGGTTTCCCCGTGGCCCACCACATTTTAATAAAGATTCTCTTTTCTCCAACTGAACCTTCTACCATACTCCAGTGCATTCTGCCTCACATTGTGTCCAGACCACAATGGCATTCTGAAGACCCAAGTGCCTCATCTTGGGCGGTCTTGAAGGTAAAAATTAATGTTATGTATATATTTTTTTACTTTTTTTTTTTAATAATAAAGGTCAAAATTAATCTGCCCTCTAGAGTTCTTTGCTCACTTTGCTAAAAATCATCTCAACTTCCAAATATTCTTGTCAGGAACAGGGATCAAAGACAGTAAGTTATTGACCTGTTTCCCTTCAATCGTGGTGAATATTTAACCCTGCCTTCCCCATCTGAAGACTAACATTCTTTAACAGACAGTAGTTGCTGATTTTTTCCTTTGTCCAAACTGCATGCCAGTTTGTTGGGGAGGGCAAGAAGTAAGGGAGGCCCAGGTTGGCACAAAACCACCACCCTGCCTGATAAAGCCGGACATCTGACCTGTTGTCAGCTCCGCCCCTTGGTCTAGACAGGAGAATCAGAATCATTCAAGGCCAGGTATTCAAAGTGGACAAAATGCTCATTGTCTCTGAATAGCGGGGACTCTCACTGGCTAAATATTTGGTTGTACACACCGCCCAAAAAAAGAAAGAAAGAAGGAAAAAGAAAGAAAGAGAAGGAAAGGAAAGGGAAGGGAAGGGAAGGGAAGGAAAGGAAAGGAAAGGAAAGGAAAATCATGTAGCTGATCTTTCCTAACCTGATTGCCGACAGATAGTTCTGGGTTTTGTAGAGCTATGTGAGGCTTGGGGAGGGCTATCAAAGTTCGATGTCATATGTATTCACACTTCCAGAGGAGAGGGAAAGATTTGCCTCTTCAAGTTTTTCCTCTGCTGCTAAATGTCATAATATACGTATATCATGTATCAGCTGTGCGACGTGGGGCACAAAGCTCGCGGGCACCAAACACCCTATGACGTCACTGGGTGTACCACTCCACAATGATCATTGCCTAATAAGCCACTTCCTCATCTGTGGGACTTTCTCTCTTTGGGGGGCACACTTCATTCTCAACATTATCATAGTCTCGTCTCCAATGAAGAACTTTGGCCCCTCATGGATCCATTTCCATCCCTTTGCTTTTTCTTTTCTTTCTTTCTTTCTTTTCTTTTCTTTTTTTTTTTTTGCAGCACTTTTCTTAAAGGATGAACTTACATGACTTTTAATTAATGCATCGTTCCAGAGGATCCCCAGTGTATATGGTTCAATCCCATACTGTGAATGGGAATTGTGCTGAGCTAGGGACTCTTAATGACTTTGTGTAGGGGAATACATCCCTTGGGTGGATGAGGACATTGCCAAATTTCCATTGCCCTTGGTTCTGTACAGGCCAAGACTAACACCCCACCCCCTCACCTTTTTCCCCCAGGCCTTACAGGGGGCTGCACATAGCATCCTCTTCTTCCCAATACACTGCTCAAAATTGTTTTTACTCTAATGTATAACTCAGTATTGATTTTCTTAGGGGAAAACTATGAGAATAGCTCAGTCAGCCATTCGTGGTGAAGAAAATCCTGCAGGAGTGAGGGAATAGAGGGAAAGGGGAGGAGAGATGAAAGGGGAGAGAGGTGGCTTTTTTGCACGTTTTTAGTCTGTGACTAGTGTGAAGTGACTTCCCTTGCGTTTTGCAGTAAGCTTCTCTAAGCAAAATTTCCTCTCCAAACTCGGAAAACTTTGTGAGCCTCAGAGCAGTTACCTCCAACTGCCTCACCCTCAACTAACTCTCTCTGTTAGAAGCAAGCTTGTTGAAATATAGCATTTCTAGAATTTCCAAAAACATATGGTATACTTTCCTCCTGGAAAAAAATCTGTCGGCCAAGTAGGGAGAGGTTCATGATGAAAGCTGAAATTTAGAAGCAACAACTCTTAGAAGTAAAATCTGTTATTATTTCCTAAAGCCTCCGTTCCAAACAAAACGCTTTTCATATGGAGCTCTTCTACTGAGAACTTTATTGAACACAGCTGCCTGGAGCAAAAGCACTCACTTTAGATGGCAAGATCTGTTAGAACAGTCTGGGTTGATCATTTCTACCTTGAATTGAAAGAATGCTAGTTACCAATAGAACCAAACAGAAACCTAAAGGTAAGATTTTTTTTCCCTTTTTTTTTCTTTTTTACCAAAGGAGACAGAAAAACGCCCCAAGGGATGAGACCCAGAGAGTAACATAATAAACAGTGGATCACTATAGAAAGCTACTTATTATTAATAATTAATAACAATAGTCACTGCATCCAATAATCATACTAATTATTTAAAAAATCCTGGGAGGAATTTTCTTTCCCCCATTCTCTAGAGGAGAGCAGAGATGCATAGGGCCAAGGTCATCAGAGCCCTTTGCCCAGCCTGGATCTGGCAGAGGTGGGACTGAGCCCAAAGGCTCAATCTCCAGCTCTTCACCTCTCCTTTACAGGACGTGAGAAAGAATTTGGGAAGCAACTGAATGGGTTTCTGATTACCATGGCTTTGTTGGAATGGCCACCTCCTTGGAACTCAATGGTCCCAAAAGCATCCGTCGGGCTGAGTTGAGTGTGCTTGCTGATGGACCACTTCTCGGACTGGATGTCATTTCGGGAGAGGCGACTCTCATTTTTCTCATTCTGAAGAACGGAGATACTGGGAGTGAGGCCCACATGCTGGCCGATCAGACGCCCACAGCAACACCTGCATCAGAGGAGGTCAAAGTGAATCCCTTGTATCTGCCATTATTGGAACACCCACTGAGGGCAACCTGCCAGAGAAATCGACAGACCATAGCCAGTCAGCTCTTAGGCAGAATCCCACAATGTGGCTATATCAGGCAAATAGTGAACTCAGGATTTACTTGACATACAAATTTTCTTTTCTGCTCCTCCTCATTTTCCTTTAGCTGGATAAGCTATAACATGCCTCCCGGCCTTCTCCACCCACCCCTTTCAGACCTGCCATATTGTTCTGGATCGGAACCTGTGAACAAAAGCCCTATATATATATTTTTTAAGATTTTATTTATTTATTTGACAGAGAGAGAGACAGCGAGAGAGGGAACACAAGCAGGGGGAGTGGGAGAGGGAGAAGCAGGCTTCCTGCTGAGCAGGGAACAATGCCGGACTCGGTCCCAGGACCCTGGGATCATGATCTGAGCCGAAGGCAGACGCTTATTGACTGAGCCACCCAGGCGCCCCCCTATAGATTTTTCTACTTCTTACTCCTCCCATCTATCAAATCTTGCATGAAAGCCACTGCACAGCTTTGAGGGAAGAATCTTAACATACACATTTAAATAAGAACGCTCACTCATATGTGAGTCACCTAACTTGTCTTTCCTCAATTGACATGCACTGTCAAATATCCAAGTCTGAGAATAAAAATCTACAGCTTAAGTGTTCCCAAAGAAATGATGAAAATATTATTCACAAGATATTTGAAAACAAAATTCACTCCTCACATCATGAAAATGTCCTTCATACTTTTCCACTACCACTATTATTAGTAATAATACCGATACAATCCTTCATACTTTATTTGTATCACTATTATAACTATTAATAATAATATTGATACACAGTTATCAGTTATTAAATACTAACGACATCACATTCATTTTATGAGTAAAATATTGCAGTTTTGAAGGTTAGGAAATTTGCTCAAGGTTACACAGCTAGTCTATATGACTCTACAGCCTGTATTTTAAAATTGCTTGATTATGTTGCCTTTTCATAAAGGCATTTCCAGACATTCATATGTTACCACATCCCAAATGCTTCCTACTTTATACGCTGTTAATTAAGGCAAAATCAGGGAGGTAAGTAGGATACTAAAGGTAAGGTAAGTAGGACACTAAAAATGTGCTTGGACGGGAATCTGAAGGTCAGCAGTCTAATTAGTAATCTGCTAGGAGTCTTTTATTTAAAAAGCTCTTTTTCATTTTAGCAGAGAATGTTGGTACAAACTAAGCATTTTGATGAAATGCTTAAAAGGGAAAATCAGTAACCATACTAAAAATACATATAACCCACTTATAGACAGTGATTAATTCCTTCCCAATGGGTTATCTGTTATTTTGTACAGGCTGTTAGAGAATTAACTGCAGGCATGGCATATTATGTGGTGTATACATATAATATTGCTGCGGAGATGTCCAGCAAAGATTAAAAGAAATGATCTTTGACGTTGGTTCCCTTGCAATGGAGAGTGATTACTATTGTAGTTTTGTTCCCGTAACTGCTACTCTGTGGTCTCACTTCATTATAGAAACGGCAAGATTACCTATGGGGGTCTTTGGTGCTGGGTATGATGTGAACACATTCTCTTTTATAAAATGCTCTTTCTATCCAGGATTTCTGAGCCTGAAAAAAAAAAAGAAGAAGAAGTAAGGTGAACATAACCTCCAAGTATTTTTGCATAGGAAACAAAATTTCATAATCACGTAATAGACTAGTATCTCATAAACCGAACTGAAATTGTGGTTACTTCACACATGGACACTGCATATAACGAAATCAAGTGCTGCCAGAAGTTGTTGATTAGGTCAACATTATAATATCAAGTCAAAGAAAATGACCATAATAAAAAAAATGTTAGTGATGGAACCATATACAAATTCTTAATGATTTTTGAAGGCAGAAAAACAATGCTTTATGGAGGAAATGAAAAACACAGAGCAGTAGGTTTATATCCCTGTAAATAACAAATATTCAGTGCTGGGGGGAAATACATGTAAGTAAGTATGAAGTTCTCATGGCTAACACTTCCATTTGATTTTCCTTGTAGAAAGAAAGAGAAACTGGGGAGCCTGGGTGGCTCAGTCAGTTGAGCATCCAGCTCTTGATTTTGGCTCAGCTCATGATCTCAGGGTCGTGAGATCAAGCCCCGAGGCCAGCTCTGCGCTTAGTGGGGAATGTGCTTGAGATTCTCTCTCTCCCTCTCACTCTGCCCCTCCTCCCACCTCTCTTGCCAAAAAAAAAGAAAGAAAGAAAGAAAGAGAAATGGTAAGAGAATTATACAATTCAAGAGCTCTAATCCATCATGATGCTTTTTCTAAGATCCTAATTAGCAGTGCTTAAATACAGAAGGAAAAAAAGGAAATGGAAGCATAAGGAAGATAAATGTCTTTATCATAGTCCAGAACTTCACAGGTAATGCCTTTGGAAGGAAGGAAGATAGCACTTTTTCTTTTCCTTTCTTTTCTTTTTTAATTCCACATGTCTTTAAGCACAGGAAGCACAGGTTCTTAGAATGGGCATTGTTGGGACTGTCCACCAGGAAGTCCGGCCACTGAGATTGGGTTCCCTGAAGGATGAAGGAAGCTCCCGCAAACTGTACCATCTTTGTTCCAAAGCACAGTGTACATCCCATAGCCTTTACCCCTTTCTTTGCCAGCTTTTGAAAAAGTAGAGGAGTCTCCCATGAGATCCTATACGCTACTCAGAAGATTCCTTTTCTAAGCATTTAAGACAGAAGTTGTTAGAGCATCCTGTAAAGTTATTTCCATATGGTATCATCTTTTCTTTAACACAGTATCAGGACTAAATTTATGCCCTTAAAATATACAGGGCCATAAAAAAAATAAAATAAATAAAATATACAGGGCCAAAGTGCAACTTAGCAGTTTACTTGGCCTCAGTGACCAGTGTTAACTGTTACAAGCCCCTATATGTTGGCTGTAATTAATACTGACTCTGCCAAGGAACCAAACATCTATATAAACTGTGCGAGGGTCTGGTTTGCTTTCAACCCTTAGTCTCCCACCTCTCTCCTCTCTCATGATGGAGTCTATGCAAGCCTGTAGCACAGAAGGCAGAAGTTATCTCGTATGACAAAGAACATTGTAATAGTAGCAACATGAGGGATGCTTGCACTTCTCAGTGTTTATGCACTATCCATACAAAGAGGAGCACCTAGGCTGTCTCCGAGATCCCTGGGTCCAGGTGGCCCTCTGCACCCTCAAACCACAAAGGTAACATTTGCCATTCTGTTTGTCAGCTGGGCATGAAGAAAGCCCCAGTGTGATTCACAAAGATTTTTCTTCTCAAATATATAGGAAAAGCTAGTGGCTGCATCTTAGCAACAGAAATGAGCTGAGCAGCATAGATAACCAGGCTTTATCTTTGTGAAAAGCCTGTAAGTTAGACTATTCATAGGCTGTGATTTTTCCTAGACACTGAACACTTTCATTGATAACATCTCTTGGCAGAAAGACGGTAAAAATATTCCTCACTGGACATTTGAAACCAACTTTCCCTACACCTTGGGGAGCAGGAAAGGGAGAATGCACTTTCCTTTCTTCTTTGTGGCCCATTTTGGCTAGAATTCAGAAGGATCTTTTGGGGAAGGATCTGCAAATTTGGGGGAGTGCCAACCAATATTCCCTGAGAGAAAGAAGGCATGGCAGTATTACGGATAGAGTGAGAGGTTTGCCGTTAGAAAAAGTGGCATGAGTGGGACTCTATGGGCTGGACAAAGTCACATAATTTTTGTGGTCCTCAGTTTTTCTCATCTATAAAATGGGCACAATAATAATAATAGCTGACACACCAAGTTGTTATCATTATTATTTGGGTACCATGTTTCAATTCAAGAAAAGGGACCCGTGCTGGGTTGGTTCTGGTACTAAAAGTTCAGATGCAGTTTCACACAAGAGCACTATGAACCTGCTATAATAGACCTGATCCAGTTTGATTTCTCTTTGCATTGGGGATCATAGGCTCCAAGAAGGCCTAGTTGGCCACTAAAAATGGTATATAGATAAGTTATTTAATATCCCTGAGTCTTTTCTATAAAACGAGGATAATCATAGCCACCTCAGAACATTGTTGTATTTACCAAAGCACATGATTCAGGGAGAGCACCTGGAACTCAGTAGGCGTTCAATATTTAGCATTTACGAAGGGCTCCTCATGTGCCTGGAAATATGCCATATATGTATTATCTCCATGGATCCTCATAAGGACCCCATGAGGGAAGTACTACTATCATGTCCATTTTACCATTGAAGAAATGAGGCAGAGAGATGCAGCAAGTACATTTTAAAGCCAGAGTTTGAACTTGCATAGTCTGACTAGAGTTCACACTCTTACCCACTCTGCTAAACTGCCTTTCCAAATTACATATTATTAATATTAATACCATATTATTAATACTAAATACCCAGTGCCATCTGGGCATGCCTGGGAATGCCTTGGTTTTTGGGCAGAGTTGGACTCCTAGAGGCATGCCTTAGACCCAGTTCATACTTGCATTTTTCCCTCCTCTTCCCTCCCTTCTGTCCCCACACATGGAGTAATACATATTCTTCTGTGTTCTACCTCTCTCCTTAGGATAAAGGATTGGCGTGGGACATTAGGAACATTGTAATAGGAGCAAGAAGTAAAAGAAGGTGGATCATTATAAGAGCTCTAACAAAGAAATGTGATTCCAACAGGATTCCTAACTTGAGAATCTGGGGGACCATGACAGATGAATTAGACTTTCCAAGGACACCTTGATTATTTGTCTCACTCATGGATCCCAGTTTTGACTTGGAAGACCCTGGAAGTTTTAGTCAGAATTACTACATAGAGAGATTGCCAACTTGTTAGTTTTTAAAAATGAAGTAACTTGACTTGTTTCAGTTTAGCAACTTAATTACCTTCTTGAAGGTGAAAATCCTACCTCACTGTTAGTGAAAGGAATGAAGATCAATTTCCATTTCTTATTACCAGCAGATTAACCATTTCCCTTGCAAAGGCATGGAAAATTGGGAGGGGGTGGGGAAGGAATGTAATATAAAAAAATCTTTCCAACATTCATAATTGAATTGAATTCTCTCTGTTTTTGAGAGAAGTACAATACATAATAGAAAGAGTGCATGTATAACACATGAATTAGAAATTCTACAAAATATCATGCATAATTGATTATGCTCTACTGTGGGCTTTGCTGTATTGTGCTTTTATTCAGGTCTTCATGTGGGTAGATACTAGATTTTTAAAATCATTTTCTTGAAGAGGGCAAATTTGATGTATAATCATGGTTTAACTTGTTCCCCAAACTAATTCCCTTTTCTTTTGTCCAAAGGCTTTGAACTGCTCTGTGTGAGCTTCATCCTTGGCTTCAATATCCAAATAAGTTAGCTCAGAATGGCTATTCTTGTTGTTAGAAAGCATGAAATAGTTTTGACATGCCATGTTTCTTACTGACCCTTTAATTCTCTTCTAATGCAAAACTTCAATGGACAGGGTGCTCTCAAATCTTTTCTTTTTAAATATGCTTCGGAAGTCTCATGTACTCAGAAAAGATGGCTTCCATCAGACCTTAGAAAATCACTTTGTACATTCTTTTCTAAAGGTAGAACGGCCACATCACCATGACTGAGTTTGTGAAGGGCTATTTTCTTTCTTGTCTTTCTGCATTATCAGTCATGTGTGATGTGTAATAGGGAAGTGGTTTCAAAGGCTAATAATTAAAGGACTTCGTATTGAAAACAAAAATGAGGACATTCATATTTTGAACAAAGTATAATGATTACCCTCAAAGAATAAAGTACTAATTTTGCAAGTAAAATGTACAGTCAATAAAGGATACAAATGATAGAAACAGACAAACAAAAGCTGTAAATATTGCCTCTGAAGGGAAAAAAAAAATTAGGTTATTTCATTTAGTCAGGTTTCACTTCTTTTTCACAAAGATTCTGCTACAAACATTAGTTCCCCCAATTACTCTGATGCTTCATACTCCCGGCTTCCCACCAGCTACAGGATCAAGAACTTCTCCAGGCAGGAATGGTTTACAAGTACATACATCGAGTATGTACTAAATCTGTCTCCAGAAAGTCTTGGAAAGTGCTACTGCAATCCACCCTTTAGGAACATAACTTAACAGAACAACAACAACCCAGACCAGTAATCACAGGTTAGAGAGAGAAAAAAAGAATCCACTAAATCTATAGAACGAACCAAGTGAAGTTTCACTATGTTCCTTATTTTGAGACTCTCTTGTTTCAAATGTACACTCTATCCTAATCGGAACAAAACACCGAAGACCCAAAGGTACTGAACGCCTGTATTCCTTTTTGACTTTCGCTTTCCTTCAGCATCAACCTGGGCATTCCTTTGGTCTTCCTCTAGGTTCCCCCGATCCACTACTGGGAGGTTGAACAAGAAGAAAATGAGCCAAAATCATTTTACCTGAGCACTGACTCTGGGTGGTGGCAAATGCAGTCCCACGAGCAGGTCCTGTTGCTTTCATTTTGCTGTGTCTGGGGCTGGTCATCCCGTTAATAATGCTCTTATGACCGCCCACTGGAAAAAAAGCCACTTGCCCAGCTCTTCCCCCAAGAGACGTTTCAAGGAAGCAATGAACTTGGGCA